GGGAATGTGGATCCTGACCTAATATTTTCTCTTGGGTTAGCCCATGTGTGAGTAAAGCGGGAGAGGAGTGGAAGATCCGGTGTTCTCAGGAGAAAAAGTGGGAATGGAGTGCTGCGAGAGTAGCAAGGGGATTCCGCTCTGAACAAGAGAAGTGCGGCTGGGACTTGTCGAAGGGAGAAGATGTTGGAGACAGAAATTAACGGATGTATTGATTTCTTAAAATTAAGTTTTGGAGTGGAAGCTACATAAAATATAAATAAAGATGTTTGCGGTGTTGCCATGGACGTAAAAAGCCCTTCCTTTCATAAGGACGCAACAGCAGGCTTAGTTCCTAGTGGCGCAAATGGAAACCCCTCAAGCCAAATGCCAGCAAAATCAGGTAAAACCCTAAAAAGAGCCCTTCCCTTCTACATAGGCCACTCCACTTGATCAAGATATATTATAATTTCCTGTAGTAAATTCTTAAATGGCTCTCCGTTCAATTCAATCGCTCACAGGAGATTCATATAGATTGCAACGTGCAAGGCCAGAGAAATTGCGTGCTTACTCTGTGCCTCCCTTCTCTGGACGAGAAGGATCCCTTGTTCTTAGAGAAGAAGGTAAAACTGGATGCAGACTACAGAATAAAGATGCTTCTTTTGTTTTTGCAAGCATTTTCTGCCTCTTATTTATGCTTGTGCGGGAACTAAAAATGGTCAACGAGGTAACTTTTCTTTCATGATTCTAGGCGAATGCAATCAGGGAAAATTTTTTTGCTCTAGATATCCTTGCTAAATTTAGCTGAGGATTTAAGATTTTTACCACATTACCTTTACATGAAGAAGGCGTGTTTCACTTTTTAAAAGTTGAAATGGTGGTACTCTTGATGTGATTTGAAACAATATTTGGGAGGTAAAAATGTAAAAATTAAAGTTTAGGTGTTAGATATGTAAATACATAGGCGTTAGATATGTAAAAATATGCAATTCAAAACGTGTCCTGCTCACCTCAGTTACCCTCATCCAAAATTTTCCTTGGACACTGACTTGAACTTATACTTCTGATGCTTTGTGCTACCTCACTTTCTTTTATTGCTTTAGTTTTTACTATATTTAATAATTTGTACTGCATTGCCGAATTTTGTCATGAATCATAATCTAGTGAATGCAATTTGTAGATGTTTTGAATTCATGTGATAAAACCCTGATGCTTCTGAGATGAAGCTTATCAAATGCTAATTTCAATGATATGTACTATTGCTAACCTTAGCATTGAAGCGTTTGAATATATAAAAACTTGCTTATAGTGGCTATCATCAAGAGAGTTAACATAAGTGCACATTTTTCTAGATTCTTAGACTAATTGTAAGGTTCTAGTCATTGGTTGTCATTTAGCCTTTCAAAAGGTATCAATACATTTTCACCTTGGCATGCTTGATGGGGCATGATGGTAGACTCGATAACTTTACTCATGTGTTGGTAATTAGGGTTGCATAAGTTAATAATCAATCTATGTTGTCTTCCCCAACCCTTATCTAGAGGGTTCATATTCTTAGTAAACCTTAAAATAACTGGGGAAATTTTGGCTTAGAGTTTAACAACCCATCTCATATTATGCGACGTATTGTCTTCTTATCCCAACCTATCCCATATAAAGCTAAACCTCACACTTTTATACTTCTTTGTTCAACTTCTATGGAGGTCACCCATCTTGCAAGTGCTCCTCCATAAACACACTTAACTATGGAGTTCCTAAAGAAAATTTATGACACCAATCTAGGATTCCTAGAAGGCATTTACGAATTGAAGTGTTTATTGGGGAAGTAGTAGAATGACAATAATTAAGGATTTGAGGGGAAAAAAAGTTGGAGATGGAAAAAAAGAGTTCAGCTCATGTCCAAGTTAAATCAGCAGGGAACACATCACGATCACGATATCGAAGAGGAATGATTTTCGAAGAGGATCCATCACTTATTTTCTTCAAGATACATATTAAACAATTGAAGATAAATAGGTTACAACTCTAAAAATAGGAGAAATATGGAGAAAAGTCTCCAAATAATATCAATCAAAGCAAAAGTCCCAAAATCAAGAAATAGCAACATATAGTCCCAAACAAAATTAAACCTAATTTTAATTCAATAAAAAAATAAAAACATGGCCCAAAAGGATCGGTGGCCACATAGCTTGAAAATTTCCTTTAAATTCCTTGAGGTGTGGGAATTCTACTCCTCGCATGATCCCTGTACGCGGGAGATGATGGGATCCTGTCCTTGCATTCTTACATCACTTGGGGTGCTCTCGCATCACTCCACCTGCCATTGCTAGAAAGCACCTGACATGCTAGGAACTAACTCTTATATAGATCAACCACTTTGTGTCCCTTTATAATGTTCGCTCTTTTAGAAACTCATCATGAGTTGCTCCTTGTTGAAGCCTCTATCCCATCGACCCGCTTCCTGTTTTCTTTGGAATTTGGACCACCCTCTTCAAATTCAAGCTGTCACAGGTCCACCACCTTTAGCTTAGTTTGCTCCAAACCGCACATTATGCTAGAGGAGATTTAGCATGATGCCAATTTTAACAATGCTAACTACAGAATGTGAGGTGTCAAACTATTTGGCCTAGCTTGTCCAATCTATTGCCCACAAATTTATTCTTCTTGATGTGGCTTCCTAGGATGTCACCCATCCCACATTACTGCTTAATTCTAGTTCCTAAAGAAACTCTTCTTGCTACACTAAAAGGAATCACTTTTCTACCTTTTCTGATGTGGGATTTGGTTCATTCTTGCCCCTCTTTTATCTTAGAAGATAGCCACCCTAGAAGCCTGCAGTGATTGTTCCTTGTTCAGATCTCAAGCTGGACAATTACTCCCCATTCTCTTTAGACTTCTGTTTTTTTTTTTGGATACGTTTGTAATAGCAATAAAATGAGTGTTTGGTAGGTGGACTCCCCATTCTCTTTAGACTTCTGTTTTTTTTTTTTTTTTTTTTGGATACGTTTGTAATAGCCTTAACTTTGAGGCATTGAGATATTGTCTGTGTTGGCCTAATGTTCTCTTTGTTTTGTCCCATTTGGCGTAACTTCCTAGGTAATTATCCATAACATGAAATGCTTCCTTAGAAGCATGCATAATTTCAAAATTTTTAATAAAATTTCAATGGAAACATCAGAAGGACCTTCAATGTTTATGGACTCATCTTTATTCTGCTTAAGAGGCTTCATAATGTCCACCATTAAAGAAACTTAAGTCCTCATCAATCTCCTTACATATAGCCCTATATCATTCACCAAGGAGATAAAGATTCTAGAGGCGGGCATTACAAGTTAAGAGGTGGCTTTCATCATTTAGCGCATTGTTTCAAAATGGGTTATTTGGCACATCACTATGTCATGCATTTGGTTCCCAGCTCCCAGTTTGGATATTACTTTGATATGATTTATATCCATTTTGCCCATTGACCTCAAAATTTTGTTCTTTTGGTGCCAATTCCAAAGAGGCAATCCATTCAAATTAGGCTCTGATATGAATTTCTCTTAACATAGGAATTTCCAATATAATCTGAACCATTATACCAAAAAGGGCCTCGAATTTTAATGGTTCAACTTCATTCTACTTAATGGGTTTCTCATAAAAGTGTTGTGCAATAAAGCAGTTATTTTCAGAATGCGACTTGCAATTTAATGTTCATGAACTTATTGTTGTGTAATTGTCCCCATCTTCTTATGTTAAGATTGCACTTTTAACTATTATATATTGGAATACCTTGTTCATGAACATCTTGGCCTAACCCATCTTTGGCCTACTCCAAATGATTTTATGTTAAAAATTTTTCCCCTGTGTGATGGAGCAGACTGGTTCTTTGCTCTCCTTTTGAAGTTTTATGACAAATTGATGTATTTTACTTTAGCTTCTCCTCATTTATCCTCCTCTTTCACTTCCTTTATGTAATGATAGATCTTAAATTTACCTTTTCTGTTATTCAAGTAATATCTAGCATTCTTATTTGGTTTCAGCTTTCTTGTTCAAGTATCCCGTATTACTGTTCAACAAATCATACAAAATTTATAGTCTAGTTTTTGTTCTAGAAAACTCTCCTCACAGGCTGTGCGAAGGCAAAGGCAACTTCTATTAACCAAAAACATTTAACTTTGAGTGATGAGCATAAATCATCTTACATGGTTATGTGCTAGTCTACCATTTATTCCCATCTGGCAGTCTAAGGATCCAACAAGAATGTATTGGCTCTCATGCTTGCTTCCTGGAAGGGGAGGGATGAATTGTAAATTCATTGTTTTCAAAATAAATTAAAACTTATTGTAACCTTAAGTTCATAGCTAAGGAGAACGAGCCCAATAACAAAAATGTTGTAGAGTTCCGACGCCTTCAGAAGTCCTATAATTATTAGTTTCTTTATCGGTAAGCTAATGCAGGGATCACATCATTAAGAGGATCTCATTCATATCATCCACTTTGAAGAAGTTTATGGGATGTGTTTTTTCTTATGTTTTGTGAATCATATTGTGAATGGATCTAGAGAACCAGTTATTTGTGGTTGTTGACTGTGATTCTTAATGGAGACTGATGAAGTTGGTGTTCCTTAGATGACACCGTTGATCGATGAAACATCATCATGAGTTCATTAGCAAAGATGGATAGTTTATATCGAAGGTATGATGATCAGGTGCACGTAAGAAGTTTGGATTGTTAGATCAAAATCCAATTTATTGTAGAAGAAGTTGTTTTGGGTAAGTTAATTTTTTTTTAAAATTTTGATTAGAATAAAAATCTGTTGGAATTATCCTTCAAAATTGAACTAAAATAGTTTATTTTTTGTAGATTTGGATGTTTTTTATGCAGTTTCTTTGGGATTGGATGATAACTCATCCTTATTTTAATTGCCTGTAAATAAGCAAAATATTTGTAATAAAATTTATTCCAATTCTACCTGATTTTTCTTTCTCTCCAATCTCCTGGTTGCCATGTCCTTACAAGGACTAGCAACCGCCAATTATTCCCTCTACCACAACCTGCAGTCCTCACAATGTCTCTTTATGCTGCTGTTGCAGCAAACTGAAGCCACCAGAGACTGCTGGAGTCTTGCTGCCACCTTCCCTGCAACCCTTCTAGACTGATCGCGACCTACTATAGGGAGGGAACATGCTATTTTTTACTGCCTTCAGCTGTCCATGTGTGAAAACAATGAGCCTCTTGGCTTTCTCCAGCAAATCAGAGAAGGTAAACAACACTCCTGCCGGTGTTTTGACAAATCCAGAAGGCATTTTCAACAACGAGGTTGCCATCCAGCACCTAAAAACAGTCCTTTTGTGCTGTTTCAGCAAAATAGAGTTGGCAAAAACAGCAAACCAACTGCTCTTTGTTAACGGGAGAGCAAAGACAAACTGGAGTTGTTGCAATCTAGCCAGGAGTCCAAAGTAGATAACTTTCTTGCTATTTACTGCAGGAAAGAAAGAAATTAGGGAGGACAAAGCTTTTTACAGAGAGAAATGATGCTAGAGGTAGTTTTATTTTGATTTATAGATCCTTAGAGTTTCTGTCCCTAGATATCTTACATTTACAACCTTCCTAATCATTATAACCTTTCATTTATAAGTTT